CAAAACACCCCAAAAACACCCCAAAAATCCAGGGGGATGGCCCCAGAACCCCCTAATGAACCAAAAACCTCTTTTTCACCCCAAAATATAAAACTGAAGCTCAGTACCTGCACTGCGAGTGGGCCACCATCGACCAGCTGGAGAGGGACAAGAGGATCCACCAGAAGCTCAAGCGCTTCAAGACCAAGATGAGCCAGATGAGGCACTTCTTCCACGAGGTTTGGGGAAGAAACGGGGGTTTGGGCAAAAATGAGGGTTTGGGGGAAAATGGGGGTTTGGGGGAAAATGGGATTTGCGAGAAAAAGGGGGAAAAATGGGATTTGGGGAAAATGGGGTTTAGGGGAAAAATAAAGGGGGGAAAAATGGGGGTTTGGGAAAAAAAGGGGAAAAATGGGATTTGGGGGGGAAAATGGGGGGTTTGGGAAATAAAATGGGGTTTAGGGGAAAATAGGTTTGAGGAGAAAGTGAGTGTTTGGTGGAAAATGGGGTTTGGGGCAAAACAGAGGTTTGGGGAAAAAGGATGTTTTGGGGGAAAATAGAGGTTGGGGAAAAATGGGTTTGGGCAAAATGGGGTTTGAGGAGAAAATGGGGGTTTGGGTGGAAAATGGGGTTTGGGAGGGGGAATGGGGTTTGGTGAGAAAATGTGGGTTTGGGTGGAAAAGGGGGGTTTTGTGGAAAAAGGGGGCTTTGGGTGGAAAATGGGGTTTTGGTAGAAAATGGGGTTTTGGGGCAAAAAACGGGGATTTTGGGAGGAAAAAGGTGGCTTTGGGTGGAAAAATGAGGTTTTGGGGGGAAAATGGGGATTTTGGGTGGAAAAACGGGGTTTTTGGGTTGTTTTGAGGCCAAAAAATTTCTTTTTTCTCCCCAAAAAAAAGGATGAGGAGCCGTTCAACCCCGACTACGTGGAGGTCGATCGGATCCTGGACGAGTCCCACTCTGTGGACAAGGACAATGGGGAGGTGGGGAGGGGACACCCCCAAAATTGGGGGGTTTTTTGGGGCTGGGAACCCCAAAATTTGGGGAGTTTGGGGAGGGACACCCCAAAATTGGGGGCTTTTGGGGTTGGGAACCCCAAAATCTAGGGGGTTTGGGAGGGACACCCCAAAAATTTGGGGGTTTGGGAGGAGACCCCCAGAATTTGGGGGTTTGGGAGGACACCCCAAAACTTGGGGGTTTGGGAGCTGGGACCCCAAAATTTGGAGGGTTTGGGGGAGGGACACCCCCAAAATTTGGGGGTTTGGGAGGGGATGCCCCAAAATTTGGGGGTTTGGGGAAGGGACACCCCCAAAATTTGGGGTTTTTTAGGTGGGACCCCAAAATTTGGGGGTTTGGGGAGGGACATCCCAAAATTTGGGGGTTTGGGGGAGGGACACCACAAAATTTGGGGTTTTGGGGGTGGGACCCCAAAATTTGGGGGTTTGGGGAGGGACATCCCCAAAATTTGGGGGTTTTTGGGTGGGACCCCAAAATTTGGGGGTTTGGGAGGGACACCCCAAAAATGGGGGTTTGGGGGAGGGACACCCAAATTTTGGGGGTTTTTGGGAGGTTTTTTGGGGTAGGACCCCAAATTTTGGGGGTTTGGGGGGGACACCCCCAAAACTTGGGGGGTTTGGGAGGGACACCCCCAAAATTTGGGGGTTTTTTGGGGGGGTTTGAGGGTGGTGGAACCCCAAAAATGATGTTTTGGGGGGTATTTGGGGACCCCAAAAAGGTTTCTGGTGGATTTGAGGGATGGTGGGACCCCCAAATTGGGGTTCCTGGTGGATTTGAGGATTGTGGGACCCCCAAAAAACGAGGTTTCTGTGGGATTTGAGTGCCTTAGACCCCCAAAAATGAGGTTCCTGTTGGATTTAGGGATGGGGGGACCCCCAAAAAGAAGGTTCTTGGTGGATTTGAGGGTTGTAGACCCCCCAAATTGGGGTTCCTGGTGGATTTGGGGGTGGTGGGACCCCCAAAAAGGAGGTTCCTGGTGGATTTGGGTGTGGTGGGACCCCCAAATTGGGGTTCCTGGGGGATTTGGGGGTGGTGGGACCCCCAAAAAGGAGGTTCCTGAGGGATTTCAGTGTCGTAGACCCCCCCAAGTCGAAGTCCCAGGTGGATTTGGGGCTTCTGGACCTGGATTTTGGGGTTCTGGGGGTCCCTGACACCCTGTAATGACCCCCCCCAGCCCGTGGTTACTTCCTGGTGAAGTGGTGCTCGCTGCCCTACGAGGTGGATTTTGGGGTGGAGTTGAGGGTTGTAGACCCCCCAAATGAGTTCCCTGTCCCCCAGAATGAGGTCCTAGGTGGATTTTGGGGTGCTGGACCCCCAGAACCCATCCCTGAGACCCCCAAATGACCCCCCCCAGCCCATGGTTACTTCCTGGTGCAGTGGTGCTCGCTGCCCTATGAGGTGGATTTTAGGGTGGTGAATGCCCCAAAATGAGGTCCCTGTCCCCCAGAATGAGGTCCTAGGTGGATTTTGGGGTTCAGGACCTGGATTTCGGGGTTCAGGACCCCCATAAAATGTCCCCCCTAGCCCGTGGTTACTTCCTGGTGCAGTGGTGCTCGCTGCCCTACGAGGACAGCACGTGGGAGCTGCAGGAGGGGGATTGGAGGGTTTTAAACCCCCCAGATCAGGGTCCCAGGTGGATTTTGGGGTTCAGGACCTGGACTTTGGGGTTCAGGACCCCCATAAAATGTCCCCCCCAGCCCGTGGTGTACTTCCTGGTGCAGTGGTGCTCGCTGCCCTACGAGGACAGCACGTGGGAGCTGCAGGAGGGGGATTGGAGTGTTATAGACCCCCCAAATTGATATCCCAGGTGGATTTTGGGGTTCTGGACCTGGATTTTGGGGTTCTGGGGGTCCCTGACACCCTGTAATGTCCCCCCCAGCCCGTGGTGTACTTCCTGGTGAAGTGGTGCTCGCTGCCCTACGAGGACAGCACGTGGGAGCTGCGGGAGGGGGATTGGAGGGTTTTAAACCCCCCAGATCAGGGTCCCAGGTGGATTTTGGGGTTCAGGACCCCCAGAACCCATCCCTGAGACCCCCAAATGACCCCCCCCAGCCCGTGGTGTACTTCCTGGTGAAGTGGTGCTCGCTGCCCTACGAGGACAGCACGTGGGAGCTGCGGGAGGGGGAGTTGAGCGTTATAGACCCCCAAAATGATATCCCAGGTGGATTTTGGGGTTCAGGACCCCCATAAAATGTCCCCCCCAGCCCGTGGTGTACTTCCTGGTGCAGTGGTGCTCGCTGCCCTACGAGGACAGCACGTGGGAGCTGCAGGAGGGGGAGTTGAGCGTTATAGACCCCCCAAATCGGGGTTCCTGGTGGATTTTGGGGTTCAGGACCCCCATAAAATGTCCCTAATGACTCCCCCCAGCCCGTGGTGTACTTCCTGGTGAAGTGGTGCTCGCTGCCCTACGAGGACAGCACGTGGGAGCTGCAGGAGGACGTGGACGAGGCCAAGGTCGCCGAGTTCCGCCGGGTGCAGGCGCGGCCGCCCGACCTCAAACGCCAGGTCAGCGACCCCCCTGCCCCCCACACCCCCTGAGTGTCCCCTGGGTGGGTGTCACACTCATTGTCACCCCCCTGTGTCCCCCCCCCCAGCCCAGGCCGCAGGCAGGGGCGTGGCAGAAGCTGGAGGCGTCGCGAGAGTACAAGAACCACAACCGGCAGCGCGAGTACCAGCTCGAGGGGGTCAACTGGCTGCTCTTCAACTGGTACAACAGGTCAGTTTGGGGGTCATCTGAACCCCCTGGGGGTCACCAGGGGCCTGCGGGGTCAGCTCGTGGGCCTGGGGGTCAGCTCATGGTCACCAGTGGGGTCAGACCTCGAGGGGGTCATGGATCGAGTACCAGCTCGAGGGGGTCAACTGGCTGCTCTTCAACTGGTACAACAGGTCAGTTTGGGTCACTTTGGGTCAGTTTGGGGGTCATCTCAGTGTCCTGGGGGTCACCAGGGGCCTGGGGGGGTCACCAGGGGGGGTGGTCACTTCAGGGGTCAGCTCACGGTCACCAGGGGGTCACAGCTGGAGGGGGTCATGGATCGAGTACCAGCTCGAGGGGGTCAACTGGCTGCTCTTCAACTGGTACAACAGGTCAGTCTGGGGGTCATCTCAGTGTCCTGGGGGTCACCAGGGGCCGGGGGGGTCACCTCATGGACCTGGGGGTCACCTCGTGGTCATCGGGGGGGTCACAGCGTGAGAGGGTCACAGCTCGAGGGGGTCAACTGGCTGCTCTTCAACTGGTACAACAGGTCAGTTTGGGTCAGTTTGGGTCACTTTGGGGGTCATCTCAGTGTCCTGGGGGTCACCAGGGGGGTGGTCAATTCAGGGGTCAGCTCATGGTCATCAGGGGGGTCACAGCTCGAGGGGGTCACAGCTCGAGGGGGTCAACTGGCTGCTCTTCAACTGGTACAACAGGTCAGTTTGGGTCACTTTGGGGGTCATCTCAGTGTCCTGGGGGGTCACACCCTGAGAGGGGTCAGCTCATGGGCCTGGGGGTCACCTCATGGTCACCAGGGGGTCACAGCTGGAGGGGGTCACAGGTGGAGAACCAGGTCGAGGGGGTCAACTGGCTGCTCTTCAACTGGTACAGCAGGTCAGGGTCTCACCTGTCCCACCTGTCCCACCTGTCCCAGGTGTCCCTCACCTGTCCCACCTGTCCCCGCAGGCAGAACTGCATCCTGGCTCACCTGATCTCACCTGTCCCACCTGTCCCACCTGTCCCTCACCTGTCCCACCTGTCCCTCATCTGTTCTACCTGTCCTACCTGTCCCAGGTGTCCCTCACCTGTCCCACCTGTCCCTGCAGGCGGAACTGCATCCTGGCTCTCCTCATCTCACCTGTCCCACCTGTCTGAGGTGTCCCTCACCTGTCCCAGCTGTCTCAGGTGTCCCCACCTGTCTCCTCAGGCAGAACTGCATCCTGGCTCACCTGATCTCACCTGTCCCACCTGTTCCCCCTGTCCCTCATCTGTTCTACTTGTCCCACCTGTCTCAGGTGTCCCTCACCTGTCCCACCTGTCTCACCTGATCTCACCTGTCCCACCTGTCCCACCTGTGTGAGGTGTCCCTGACGTGTCCCCGCAGGCAGAACTGCATCCTGGCTCACCTGATCTCACCTGATGTCACCTGATCTCACCTGTCCCACCTGATCTCACCTGATCTCACCTGTCCCACCTGTCCCAGGTGTCCCTCACCTGTCCCACCTGTCCCCACAGGCAGAACTGCATCCTGGCTCACCTGATCTCACCTGTCACACCTGATCTCATCTGATCCCACCTGTCCCACCTGTCTCAGGTGTCCCTCACCTGTCTCCTCAGGCAGAACTGCATCCTGGCTCACCTGATCTCACCTGATGTCACCTGATCTCACCTGATCTCACCTGTCTCACCTGTCCCACCTGTCTCAGGTGTCCCACCTGTCTCAGGTGTCCCTCACCTGTCTCCTCAGGCAGAACTGCATCCTGGCGGACGAGATGGGTCTGGGCAAGACGATCCAGTCGATCGCCTTCCTGCAGGAGGTGCACGGGGCCGGCGTGCGGGGCCCTTACCTGGTGATCGCCCCCCTGTCCACCATCGCCAACTGGGAGCGCGAGTTCGGCACCTGGACCGCCATGAACACCATCGTGTACCACGGCAGCCTGGCCTCGAGGCAGATGATCCAGCAGTACGAGATGTACTGCAAGGATTCCAAGGTGAGACACCATGCATCACACCTGTACACACCTGTACACACACCTGTACACACCTGTACAGTCACACTCACCTGTCCATGAACACCATCGTGTACCACGGCAGCCTGGCATCCCGCCAGATGATCCAGCAGTACGAGATGTACTGCAAGGACAGCAAGGTGAGAGCATCATCATCCTTACCTGTACACACCTGTATTACCTGCACACACCTGTACACACCTGTATAGTCACACTCACCTGTCCATGAACACCATCGTGTACCACGGCAGCCTGGCCTCCAGGCAGATGATCCAGCAGTACGAGATGTACTGCAAGGATTCCAAGGTGAGAGCATCATCATCATTACCTGCACACACCTGTACACACACCTGTACAGTCACACTCACCTGTCCATGAACACCATCGTGTACCACGGCAGCCTGGCCTCCAGGCAGATGATCCAGCAGTACGAGATGTACTGCAAGGATTCCAAGGTGAGACACCTGTACACACACCTGTACACACCTGTACACACCTGTACACACACCTGTCCATGAACACCATCGTGTACCACGGCAGCCTGGCCTCCAGGCAGATGATCCAGCAGTACGAGATGTACTGCAAGGATTCCAAGGTGAGAGCATCATCATCATCACCTGCACATTTACCTGTATTACCTGCACACACCTGTACAGTCACACTCACCTGTCCATGAACACCATCGTGTACCACGGCAGCCTGGCCTCCAGGCAGATGATCCAGCAGTACGAGATGTACTGCAAGGATTCCAAGGTGAGACACCTGTACACACACCTGTACACACCTGTACACACCTGTACACACACCTGTGCACTCACCTGTCCATGAACACCATCGTGTACCACGGCAGCCTGGCCTCCCGCCAGATGATCCAGCAGTACGAGATGTACTGCAAGGACAGCAAGGTGAGACACCTGCACACACCTGTACACACACCTGTACACTCACCTGTCCATGAACACCATCGTGTACCACGGCAGCCTGGCCTCCCGCCAGATGATCCAGCAGTACGAGATGTACTGCAAGGACAGCAAGGTGAGAGCATCATCATCCTCACCTGCACACACCTGTACACACACCTGTACACACACCTGTACAGTCACACTCCCCTGTCCATGAACACCATCGTGTACCACGGCATCTTCATCATCTCCAGGGTGTCCCCAAAATGTCCCCAAGGTGTCCCCAATGTCCCCAAAATGTCCCCAGGGTGTTCCCAAAATGACCCCCAAAATGTCCCCAATGACCCCAAAATGTCCCCAATGTCCCCAAAATGTCCCCAAAATGTCCCCAATGACCCCAAACTGTCCATGACCCTGCCTCCAGGTGTCCCAAATGTCCCCATGTCCAGTGTCCTAAAGGTGTCCCCAATGTCCTAAAGGTGTCCCCAATGTCCCCAAAATGTTCCCAAAATGACCCCAAAATGTCCCCAAGGTGTCCCCAAAATGTCCCTGAGGTGTCCATGCCCAAGTGTCCAGTGTCCCCATGACCCCAATGTCCCCAAAACGTCCCCAAATGTCCCCAATGTCCTCAAAATGTCTCAAATGACCCCAAAACGTCCCCAAATGTCCCCAATGTCCTCAAAATGTCCCAAATGACCCCAAATGACCCCAAAATGTCCCAAAATGTCCCCCCCAGGGCCGCCTGATCCCCGGGGCTGTACAAGTTCGACGCGCTGATCACGACGTTCGAGATGATCTTGTTGGGGCATTCCCTGTCCCCAATGACCCCAAAACGTCCCAAATGACCCCAAAATGTCCCAAATGACCCCAAAATGCCCCAAATGATCCTCAAAATGTCCCAAATGACCCCAAAATGCCCCAAATGACCCCAAAATGTCCCCCCCAGGGCTGCCTGATCCCCGGGGCGTACAAGTTCGACGCGCCGATCACGACGTTCGAGATGATCCTGTGGGGTCATTCCCTGTCCCCAGGGTGTCCCCAACGACCCAAAATGACCCAAATGACCCCAAAACGCCCCCAAAGGACCCCAAAATGTCCCCAGGGTGTCCCCAATGTCCCCAAAATGTCCCCAAGGTCTTTCCTGTCCCCCCCAGGGCCGCCTGATCCTCAGGGCGTAAAAATTGGACGCGCTGATCACGACGTTCGAGATGATCCTGTTGGAACCTGAGCTGTCCCCAATGACCCCAAAACGTCCCAAAATGATCCCAAAGTGTCCCAAAATGACCTCAAAATGTCCCAAAATGACCCCAAAACATTCCCCATGTCCTCCCCAGGGCCGCCTGATCCCCGGGGCGTACAAGTTCGACGCGCTGATCACGACGTTCGAGATGATCCTGTCGGAACCTGAGCTGTCCCCAATGACCCCAAAACGTCCCCAATGACCCCAAAATGTTCCCAAGAACCCCAAAATGCCCACAAATAACCCCAAAATGTCCCCCCCAGGGCCGCCTGATCCCCGGGGCGTACAAGTTCGACGCGCTGATCACGACGTTCGAGATGATCCTGTTGGAACCTGAGCTGTCCCCAATGACCCCAAAATGTCCCAAAATGACCCCAAAACGTCCCCAGGTGTCCCCAACGACCCAAAATGCCCCAATGACCCCAAAATGTCCCCCCCAGGGCCGCCTGATCCCTGGGGCGTACAAGTTGGACGCGCTGATCGCGACGTTCGAGATGATCCTGTTGGAACCTGAGCTGTCCCCAATGACCCCAAAATGTCCCAAAATGACCCCAAACTCCCCCCCAGGGCCGCCTGATCCCCGGGGCGTACAAGTTCGACGCGCTGATCACGACGTTCGAGATGATCCTGTCCGAGTGCCCCGAGCTGCGGGAGATCGAGTGGCGCTGCGTGGTCATCGACGAGGCCCACCGGCTCAAGAACCGGCACTGCAAGCTCCTCGACAGCCTCAAGCACATGGACCTGGTGGGTTTGGGGGTTTGGGGTCATCCTGGGGGGTTTTGGGGTCATCCTGAGGGGTTTGGGTCATCCTGGGGGTTTTGGGGGGTCTTGGGGGGTTTGGGGTCACCGGCTCAAGAACCGGCACTGCAAGCTCTCGACAGCCTCAAGCACATGGACCTGGTGGGTTTGGGGTTTGGGGGTTTTGGGGTCATCCTGGGGGTTTGGGGTCATCCTGAGGGGTTTGGGGGATTTGGGGATTTTGGGGGTTTGGGGTTTTGGGGTCACCGGCTCAAGAACCGGCACTGCAAGCTCCTCGACAGCCTCAAGCACATGGACCTGGTGGGTTTTGGGGTTTGGGGGGGTTTTGGGGTCATCCTGGGGGTTTGGGGTCATCCTGAGGGGGTTTGGGGGCATTCTGGGGGTTTGGGGGTTTTGGGGGTTTGGGGTCACCGGCTCAAGAACCGGCACTGCAAGCTCCTCGACAGCCTCAAGCACATGGACCTGGTGGGTTTTGGGGTTTGGGGGGATTTTGGGGGTATTTGGGGTCATTCTGGGGGGGTTTGGGGTCGTCCTGGGGGGTTTGGGGTCATCCTGAGGGAGTTTGGGGTCGTCTTGGGGGTTTGGGGTTGTCCTGGAGGGTTTGGGGTGGCCTTAGCGACGTCTCACCTGTCCCCAGGCGTCCTCACCTGTCCCCAGGTGTTCTCAGGTGTCTCACCTGTGCCCAGGTGTCCCCAGGTGTCCTGAGGTGTCTCACCTGTGTTCAGGTGTCCCCAACCATGCCTAGGTGTGTCACCTGTCCCCCAGGTGTCTCAGCTGTCCCCAGGTGTCCCCAGGTGTTCTCAGGTGTCTCACCTGTCCCCAGGTGTCCCCATACGTCCCTAGGTGTCTCACCTGTCCCCAGGTGGCCACAGGTGTCTTCAGGTGTCCCCAGGTGTTCTCAGGTGTTCTCAGGTGTCTCACCTGTGCCCAGGTGTTCCCAGGTATCTGAGCTGTCCCCAGGTGTTCCCAGGTGTCCCCAGGTGTCCTCAGGTATCTGAGCTGTCCCCAGGTGTGTTACCTGTCTCACCTGTCCCTCACCTGTCCCATTTAGGAGCACAAGGTGCTGCTGACGGGCACGCCGCTGTAGAACAGGGGTGTCCCCAGGTGTCCCCAGGTGTCCCTGGGTGTGTCACCTGTCCCCAGGTGTGCTCAGGTGTGCTCAGGTGTGCTCACCTGTCCCGTTTAGGAGCACAAGGTGCTGCTGACGGGCACGCCGCTGCAGAGCAGGGGTGTCCCCAGGTGTTCCCAGGTGTCCCCAGGTGTGCTCAGGTGTGCTCAGGTGTGTCACTTGTCCCTCACCTGTCTCACCTGTCTCACCTGCAGGAGCACAAGGTGCTGCTGACGGGCACGCCGCTGCAGAGCAGGGGTGTCCCCAGGTGTCCCCAGGTGTCCCCAGCTGTCCCCAGGTGTCTCAGCTGTGCCCAGGTGTGCTCAGGTGTGCTCACCTGTGCTCACCTGTCCCGTTTAGGAGCACAAGGTGCTGCTGACGGGCACGCCGCTGCAGAGCAGGGGTGTCCCCAGGTGTCCCCAGGTGTCCCCAGGTACCTGAGCTGTCCCCAGGTGTGCTCACCTGTCTCACCTGTCTCACCTGTCGTGTTTAGGAGCACAAGGTGCTGCTGACGGGCACGCCGCTGCAGAACAGGGGTGTCCCCAGGTGTCCCCATGTATCCTAGCTATCCCCAGGTGTGTCAGCTGTCCCCAGGTGTGCTCAGGTGTGTCACCTGTCCCCACCTGCAGGAGCACAAGGTGCTGCTGACGGGCACGCCGCTGCAGAGCAGGGGTGTCCCCAGATGTCCCCAGGTATCTCAGCTGTCCCCAGGTGTGCTCAGGTGTACTCAGGTGTGCTCACCTGTCTCACCTGTCTCACCTGCAGGAGCACAAGGTGCTGCTGACGGGCACGCCGCTGCAGAGCAGGGGTGTCCCCAGGTATCCCCAGGTGTGTCACCTGTCCCCAGGTGTGCTCAGGTGCACTCAGGTGTCTCACCTGTCCCACCTGCAGGAGCACAAGGTGCTGCTGACGGGCACGCTGCTGCAGAGCAGGGGTGTCCCCAGGTGTCCCCAGGTGTTCCCAGGTGTCCCCAGGTATCTCAGCTGTCCCCAGGTGTGCCCAGGTATCTGAGCTGTCCCCAGGTGTGTTACCTGTCTCACCTGTCTCACCTGTCTCACCTGCAGGAGCACAAGGTGCTGCTGACGGGCACGCCGCTGCAGAGCAGGGGTGTCCCCAGGTGTCCCCAGGTGTCCCCAGGTATTTCAGGTGTCCCCAGGTGTACTCAGCTGTCCCCAGGTGTGTTACCTGTCTCACCTGTCTCACCTGTCCCACCTGCAGGAGCACAAGGTGCTGCTGACGGGCACGCCGCTGCAGAGCAGGGGTGTCCCCAGGTGTCCCCAGGTATCCCCAGGTGTGCTCAGGTGTGTCACCTGTCTCACCTGTCTCACCTGCAGGAACACAAGGTGCTGCTGACGGGCACGCCGCTGCAGAGCAGGGGTGTCCCCAGATGTCCCCAGGTATCTCAGGTGTCCCCAGGTGTGTCACCTGTCCCCAGGTGTGCTTACCTGTCCCACCTGCAGGAGCACAAGGTGCTGCTGACGGGCACGCCGCTGCAGAGCAGGGGTGTCCCCAGGTGTCCCCAGGTATCTGAGCTGTCCCCAGGTGTGTTACCTGTCTCACCTGTCTCACCTGTCCCACCTGCAGGAGCACAAGGTGCTGCTGACGGGCACGCCGCTGCAGAGCAGGGGTGTCCCCAGGTGTCCCCACATATCCTAGCTATCCCCAGGTGTGTCACCTGTCCCCAGGTGTGCTCAGGTGTGCTCAGGTGTGCTCACCTGTCCCGTTTAGGAGCACAAGGTGCTGCTGACGGGCACGCCGCTGCAGAGCAGGGGTGTCCCCAGGTGTTCCCAGGTGTCCCCAGGTATCTCAGGTGTCCCCAGGTGTGCTCAGGTGTGCTCACCTGTCGTGTTTAGGAGCACAAGGTGCTGCTGACGGGCACGCCGCTGCAGAGCAGGGGTGTCCCCAGATGTCCCCAGGTATCTCAGCTGTCCCCAGGTGTGCTCAGGTGTACTCAGGTGTGCTCACCTGTCTCACCTGTCTCACCTGCAGGAGCACAAGGTGCTGCTGACGGGCACGCCGCTGCAGAGCAGGGGTGTCCCCAGGTGTTCCCAGGTGTCCCCAGGTGTCCCCAGGTATCTCAGGTGTCCCCAGGTATCCCCAGGTGTGCTCAGGTGTGTTACCTGTCCCTTACCTGTCGTGTTTAGGAGCACAAGGTGCTGCTGACGGGCACGCCGCTGCAGAACAGGGGTGTCCCCAGATGTCCCCAGGTATCTCAGGTGTCCCCAGGTGTCCCCAGGTGTGCTCAGGTGTGCTCAGGTGTGCTCACCTGTCCCGTTTAGGAGCACAAGGTGCTGCTGACGGGCACGCCGCTGCAGAGCAGGGGTGTCCCCAGGTGCACAAGGTGCTGCTGACGGGCACGCCGCTGCAGAGCAGGGGTGTCCCCAGGTGTGTCCCAGGTGTCCCCAGGTATCTCAGGTGTCCCCAGGTGTGCTCAGGTGTGCTCACCTGTCGTGTTTAGGAGCACAAGGTGCTGCTGACGGGCACGCCGCTGCAGAACAGGGGTGTCCCCAGATGTCCCCAGGTGTCCCCAGGTGTCCCCAGGTGTGCTCAGGTGTGCTCACCTGTCCCTCACCTGTCCCATTTAGGAGCACAAGGTGCTGCTGACGGGCACGCCGCTGCAGAACAGGGGTGTCCCCAGGTGTCCCCAGGTGTCCCCAGGTATCTCAGGTGTACTCAGCTGTCCCCAGGTATCTCAGGTGTGCTCACCTGTCTCACCTGTCTCACCTGCAGGAGCACAAGGTGCTGCTGACGGGCACGCCGCTGCAGAGCAGGGGTGTCCCCAGGTGTCCCCAGGTGTCCTCAGGTGTCCCCAGGTATTTCAGGTGTCCCCAGATGTGTCACCTGTCCCCAGGTGTGCTTACCTGTCCCACCTGCAGGAGCACAAGGTGCTGCTGACGGGCACGCCGCTGCAGAGCAGGGGTGTCCCCAGGTGTCCCCAGGTGTCCCCAGGTATCTGAGCTGTCCCCAGGTGTACTCAGGTGTGCTCAGGTGTGTTACCTGTCCCTTACCTGTCCCATTTAGGAGCACAAGGTGCTGCTGACGGGCACGCCGCTGCAGAACACGGTGGAGGAGCTGTTCAGCCTCCTGCACTTCCTGGAGCCCTCGCGCTTCCCCTCCGAGGGCGACTTCCTGCGCGACTTCGGCGACCTCAAGACCGAGGAGCAGGTGGGGGGCGCACCTGGGGGGGCACCTGGGGGGGATTTGGGGGGTCCTGGGGGCACCTGAGGGGTCCTGGGGGGGATTTGGGGTGTCCCAGGTGTGTGGGTGTGGTTTGGGTGTGTCCCAGGTGTGTCCCAGGTGTGTCCCAGGTGTGTCTGGGTGTGTCCCAGATGTGTCCCAGGTGTGTCCCAGGTATGTCCCAGGTGTGTCCCAGCTGATGTCAGTCTCTCCCAGGTGTGTCCCAGGTGTGTCCAGGTGTGTCCCAGGTGTGTGTGGGTGTGTCCCAGCTGTGTCCCAGCTGTGTCCCAGGTGTGTCCCGGGTGTGTCTCAGGTGTGTGTGGGTGTGTCCCAGGTGTGTCCCAGGTGTGTCCAGGTGTGTCCCAGGTGTGTGTGGGTGTGTCCCAGGTGTGTCCCAGGTGTGTCTCACCTGCCCAGGTGTGTGTGGATGTGTCCCAGGTGTGTCCCAGGTGTGTGTGGGTGTGTCCCAGGTGTGCCCCAGGTGTGTCCCAGGTGTGTGTGGGTGTGTGTGGGTGTGTCCCAGGTGTGTGTGGGTGTGTGTGGGTGTGTCCCAGGTGTGTGTGGGTGTGTCCAGGTGTGTCCCAGGTGTGTCCCAGGTGTGTTCCAGGTGTGTCCCAGGTGTGTCCCAGGTGTGTGGGGGTGTGTCCCAGGTGTTTCCAGGTGTGTCCCAGGTGTGTGGGGGTGTGTCCCAGGTGTGTCCCAGGTGTGTCCCAGGTGTGTGTGGGTGTGTCCCAGGTGTGTCCCAGGTGTTTCCAGGTGTGTCCCAGGTGTGTCCCAGGTGTGTCCCAGGTGTGTCCCAGGTGTGTCCCAGGTGTGTCCCAGGTATGTCCAGGTGTGTCCCAGGTGTGTTCAGGTGTGTGTGGGTGTGTCCCAGGTGTGTGTGGGTGTGTCCCAGGTGTGTCCCAGGTGTGTGTGGGTGTGTCCCAGGTGTGTCCCAGGTGTGTCCAGATGTGTCCCAGGTGTGTCCCAGGTGTGTCCCAGGTGTATCCAGCTGTGTCCCAGGTGTCTGTGGGTGTGTCCCAGGTGTGTCTCACCTGCCCAGGTGTGTCCCATTCCAGGTGCAGAAGCTGCAGGCGCTGCTGAAGCCGATGATGCTGCGGTGTCTGTGGGTTGGGTTTGAGTGTGTCCCAGGTGTCTGTGGGTGTCTGTGGGTGTGTCCCAGGTGTGTCTAGGTGTGTCTCAGGTGTGTCCCAGGTGTGTGTGGGTGTGTCCAGGTGTGTCTCACCTGGCCAGGTGCGCTCCCCCGCAGGTGCAGAAGCTGCAGGCGCTGCTGAAGCCGATGATGCTGCTGTGGGTCTGGGCTGGGTTTGGGTGATGTCAGGGTGTCCCAGGTGTCTGTAGGTGTGTCCAGGTGTGTCCCAGGTGATGTCAGTCTATCCCAGGTGTGTCCAGGTGTGTCTCACCTGCCCAGGTGCGTTGTGTTGCAGGTGCAGAAGCTGCAGGCGCTGCTGAAGCCGATGATGCTGCGGTGTCTCTGGGCTGGGTTTGGGTGATGTCAGGGTATCCCAGGTGACTGTAGGTGTGTACAGGTGTGTCCAGGTGTGTCTCACCTGCCCAGGTGTACTCCTCCACAGGTGCAGAAGCTGCAGGTGCTGCTGAAGCCGATGATGCTGCGGTGTCTCTTGGTTGGGTTTGAGTGTGTCCCAGGTGTCTGTGGGTGTCTGTGGGTGTGTCCCAGGTGTGTCTCACCTGCCCAGGTGTGTGTGGTTCCAGGTGCAGAAGCTGCAGGCGCTGCTGAAGCCGATGATGCTGTGGTGTCTGTGGGTGTGTGTGGGTGATGTGGGTGTGTCCCAGGTGTCTGTGGGTGTGTCCCAGGTGTGTCCCAGGTGTGTCCCAGGTGTATCTCACCTGCCCAGGTGCGCTCCTCCACAGGTGCAGAAGCTGCAGGTGCTGCTGAAGCCGATGATGCTGCGGTGTCTGTGGGCTGGGTTGGGGTGATGTCAGGGGGTTGAGGTGATGTCAGGGTGCCTGTGGGTGTGTCCCAGGTGTGTCCCAGGTGTGTCTCACCTGTCCAGGTGCGCTCCCCCGCAGGTGCAGAAGCTGCAGGCGCTACTGAAGCCGATGATGCTGTGGTGTCTGTGGGTGTGTGTGGGTGATGTCAGGGTGTGTCCCAGGTGTGTCCCAGGTGTGTCTCACCTGCCCAGGTGTGTCCCATTCCAGGTGCAGAAGCTGCAGGCGCTGCTGAAGCCGATGATGCTGCGGTGTCTGTGGGTGTGGTTTGGGTGATGTGGGTGTGTCCCAGGTGTGTCCCAGGTGTGTCTCACCTGTCCAGGTGTGTGTGGTTCCAGGTGCAGAAGCTGCAGGCGCTGCTGAAGCCGATGATGCTGCGGTGTGTGTGGGTGTGGTTTGGGTGATGTCAGGGTGTTGAGGTGATGTCAGGGTGCGTGTGGGTGTGTCCAGGTGTGTCTCACCTGTCCAGGTGCGCTCCCCCGCAGGTGCAGAAGCTGCAGGCGCTGCTGAAGCCGATGATGCTGCGGTGTCTCTGGATGTGTGTGGGTGTGTCCCAGGTGTCTGTAGGTGTGTCCAGGTGTGTGTGGGTGTGTCCCAGGTGATGTCAGGCTATCCCAGGTGTGTCTCACCTGGCCAGGTGTGTCCCATTCCAGGTGCAGAAGCTGCAGGCGCTGCTGAAGCCGATGATGCTGCGGTGTCTGTGGTTTGTGTTTGGGTGATGTCAGGGTGTTGAGGTGATGTCAGTCTATCCCAGGTGTGTCCCAGGTGTGTCCCAGGTGTGTCTCACCTGTCCAGGTGTGCTCCCCCGCAGGTGCAGAAGCTGCAGGCGCTGCTGAAGCCGATGATGCTGCGGTGTCTGTGGGCTGGGTTGGGGTGATGTCAGGGTATCCCAGGTGTCTGTAGGTGTATCCAGGTGTGTCTCACCTGCCCAGGTGTGTGTGGTTCCAGGTGCAGAAGCTGCAGGCGCTGCTGAAGCCGATGATGCTGCGGCGGCTGAAGGAGGACGTGGAGAAGAACCTGGCGCCCAAGCAGGAGACGATCATCGAGGTGGAGCTCACCAACATCCAGAAGAGGTTCTACCGCGCCATCCTCGAGCGCAACTTCGCCTACCTGGCCAAGGGGGCGGGGCACGGCAACGTGCCCAACCTGCTCAACACCATGATGGAGCTCAGGAAGTGCTGCAACCACCCCTACCTCATCAACGGTGAGTTTGGGGCTCACCTGGGCACACCTGGGCTCACCTGGGCTCACCTGGGCATACCTGGGCACACCTGGGGGTGAGGGGAGGGGTCCCAACAAACACTATGGTGGAGCTCAGGAAGTGCTGCAACCACCCCTACCTCATCAACGGTGAGTTTGGGGCTCACCTGGGCTCACCTGGGCTCACCTGGGCACACCTGGGCTCACCTGGGCACACCTGGGGGTGAGGGGGTAGTACCTGCTCAACACCATGATGGAGCTCAGGAAGTGCTGCAACCACCCCTACCTCATCAACGGTGAGTTTTGGGGGGGTTTGGGGCTCACCTGGGCACACCTGGGCACACCTGGGCACACCTGGGGGTGAGGGGAGGGGTCCCAACAAGCACCAGGATGGAGCTCAGGAAGTGCTGCAACCACCCCTACCTCATCAACGGTGAGTTTTGGGGGGAGCTTGGGGGGATTTGGGGGTCTCAGTGCTCACCTGGGGCTCTCAGTGCCCTCTCAGGGTCTCAATGCACATCTGGGGCTCTCAGTGCTCACCTGGGGGTCTCAGTGCTCACCTGGGGGTCTCAGTGCTCACCTGGGGGTCTTAGTGCCATCTCAGGGTCTCAATGCCCACCTGGGGGCTCTCAATGCACACCTGGGCACCATTTTTGTGCAGGAGCCGAGGAGAAGATCCTGTCGGAGCTGCGCGAGGGCTGCGCGGGCGCGGCGGTGCCGCCCGAGCTGCACCTGCAGGCGCTGGTGCGCTCACCTGAGCTCACCTGGGCACACCTGAGCTCACCTGTGTACCTTTTTCACCCTTTTTTGTGCAGGAGCCGAGGAGAAGATCCTGTCCGAGCTCCGCGAGGGCTGCGCGGGCGCGGCGGTGCCGCCCGAGCTGCACCTGCAGGCGCACCTGGGCACACCTGGGCTCACCTGTGCCCCCTGTTTCCATGCAGGAGCAGAGGAGAAGATCCTGTCCGAGCTGCGGGAGGGCATCGCGGGCGCGGCGGTGCCGCCCGAGCTGCACCTGCAGGCGCACCTGGGCACACCTGGGCACACCTGGGCACACCTGGGCTCACCTGGGGACCCTTTTTCACCCTTTTTTCCAGGAGCAGAGGAGAAGATCCTGTCCGAGCTCCGTGAGGGCTGCGCGGGCGCGGCGGTGCCGCCCGAGCTGCACCTGCAGGCGCTGGTGCGCTCGGCGGGCAAGCTGGTGCTGCTGGACAAGCTGCTGCCCAAGCTGCGCCAGGGCGGCCACAAGGTGCTCGTCTTCTCCCAGATGGTGCGCTGCCTCGACATCCTCGAGGACTACCTCATCCACAGGAGGTGGGATGGGGGGGTTTTGGGGGGGCTTTTAGGGGTTTTTGGGAGGTTTGGGGGGGTTTATGGGGTGTTTATGGGGTGTTTGGGGGGTCAGGAGATCCAGGGAGGGGGTTTGTGGGGGTGAGGGGCTCCAGGGATGGGGTCGCTGCCTGGACATCCTCGAGGACTACCTCATCCACAGGAGGTGGGATGGGGCGCTTTTGGGGGGGCTTTTGGGGTTTTTGGGGTGTTTATGGAGTGTTTGGGGTGTCTATGGGGTGTTTGGGGGGTCAGGAGATCCAGGGAGGGGGTTTATGGGGGGTGAGGGGATCCAGGGATGGGGGCGCTGCCTCGACATCCTCGAGGACTACCTCATCCACAGGAGGTGGGATGGGGGGGTTTTTGGGGGGGTTTTGGGGTCTTTATGGGGTCAGGAGATCGAAAGATTGGGTTTATGGGGTCTTTGGGGGGTCAGGAGATCCAAAGATTGGGTTTATGGGGTGTTTGGGGGGTGAGGGGATCCAGGGATGGGGGCGCTGCCTCGACATCCTCGAGGACTACCTCATCCACAGGAGGTGAGGGGGCATTTTGGGGGGTTTTGGGGTTTTTGGGGGGTTTATGGGGTCTTTATGGGGTGAGGGGATCCAGGGATGGGTTTTTATGGGGTGTTTGGGGGGTGAGGGGATCCAGGGATGGGGGCGCTGCCTCGACATCCTCGAGGACTACCTCATCCACAGGAGGTGGGATGCAGGGTTTTTTGGGGGGATTTTGGGGTTTTTGGGGTGGTTTCAATGACCACCTGGACACCTTGGTGGCCCCCTGAGAGTCCTGGTCTTAATGACCACCTGGACATCTCAGTAGCCACCTGGACACTTTGGTAGCCACCTGGACAACTCAGTGGTCACCTGGGGGTCCTGGTTTCAATGGCCACCTGGACACCTTGGTAGCCACCTGGACACCTCGGTGGCCACCTGGACACTTTGGTAGCCACCTGGGGGTCTCAATGACCACCTGGACACTTTGGTAGCCACCTGGCCACTTTGGTAGCCACCTGGCCACCTCAGTATCCCCCCTTTTTCCCCCCTCCTGACCCCCTTTTCCCCCAGGTACCCGTACGAGCGCATCGACGGGCGGGTGCGGGGCAACCTGCGGCAGGCGGCCATCGACCGCTCCAGCCGGCCCGACTCGGACCGCTCGTGTTCCTGCTGTGCACGAGGGCGGGCGGGCTGGGCATCAACCTGACGGCCGCCGACACCTGCATCATCTTTGATTCTGATTGGAACCCTCAGAATGATTTACAGGTGAGTTTGGGGGTTTGGGGGTTTGGGGTCTCTGCATCATCTTTGATTCTGATTGGAACCCACAGAATGATCTACAGGTGAGTTTGGGGAGGGTTTGGGGGTTTGGGGTCTCTGCATCATCTTCGACTCGGACTGGAACCCACAGAATGATCTACAGGTGAGTTTGGGGAGGGTTTGGGGGTTTGGGGTCTCTGCATCATCTTCGACTCGGACCGCTTCGTGTTCCTGCTGTGCACGCGGCGGGCGGGCTGGGCATCAACCTGACGGCTGCCGACACCTGCATCATCTTTGATTCTGACTGGAACCCTCAGAACGATTTACAGGTGAGTTTGGGGGGGTTTGGGGGTTTGGGGTCTCTGCATCATCTTTGATTCGGATTGGAACCCACAGAATGATTTACAGGTGAGTTTAGCTCCTAGGGGTTTGGGGGCTTTGGGGTTTAAATAGAATGATCTCCAGGTGAGAAATGGGGGCTCCCAGGGGGTTTGGGGTCTCTGCATCATCTTTGACTCGGATTGGAACCCCCAGAATGATCTGCAGGTGAGAAATGGGGTTGGGGTCCCTGGGACATCCACGGGGGGTTTGGGGTCTCTGCATCATCTTCGACTCGGATTGGAACCCCCAGAATGATCTGCAGGTGAGAAATGGGGGGTTTGGGGTTCCCTGCATCATCTTTGTCGGTGGCCCCAGAATGATTTACAGGTGAGTTTGGGGGCTCCCAGGGGGTTTGGGGGGGCTTTGGGGGTTTGGGGTCTCTGCATCATCTTTGATTCTGATTGGAACCCACAGAATGATCTCCAGGTGAGAAATGGGGGGGTTTGGGGGGGTTTGGGGTCTCTGCATCATCTTTGACTCGGATTGGAACCCCAGAATGATTTGCAGGTGAGAAATGGGGGTTTAGGGTCCTGGGACATCCACGGGGGTTTGGGGTCTCTGCATCATCTTCGACTCGGACTGGAACCCCAGAATGATCTAGCAGGTGAGAAATGGGGGGGGTTTGGGGTCTCTGCATCATCTTTGATTCTGACTGGAACCCTCAGAACGATTTACAGGTGAGAAATGGGGGGGTTTGGGGTCTCTGCATCATCTTTGATTCCGACTGGAACCCACAGAACGATCTACAGGTGAGCTGGAACGGGGTTTGGGTACCATCCAGGGAGGTTTGGGGTCTCTGCATCATCTTCGACTGGACTGGAACCCCAAGAATGATTTACAGGTGAGTTTGGGGGTTTGGGGGTTTGGGGGTTTGGGGTCTCTGGGAACCTCGAGGGAGGGGGTTTGGGGTCTCTGCATCATCTTTGACTCGGACTGGAACCCCAGAACGATTTACAGGTGAGCTGGGACACCCAGGGGGGGTTTGGGGTCTCTGCATCATCTTTGATTCCGACTGGAACCCCCAGAATGATCTACAGGTGAGAAATGGGGGGGTTTGGGGGGGTTTGGGGTCTCTGCATCATCTTTGACTCGGATTAGAACCCCCAGAACGACTTACAGGTGAGAAATGGGGGGGTTTGGGGAGGGTTTGGGGGGGTTTGGGGTCTCTGCATCATCTTCGACTCGGATTGGAACCCTCAGAATGATCTGCAGGTGAGCTGGAACGGGGTTTGGGTACCATCCAGGGGGGTTTGGGGTCCCTGCATCATCTTCGACTCGGACTGGAACCCACAGAATGATTTACAGGTGAGTTTGGGGGCTCCCAGGGGGGGTTTGGGGTCTCTGCATCATCTTTGACTCGGATTGGAACCCCCAGAACGATTTACAGGTGAGAAATGGAGGGGTTGGGGGTTTGGGGGTTTGGGGTCTCTGCATCATCTTCGACTCGGACTGGAACCCCCAGAACGACCTGCAGGTGAGAAATGGGGGGGTTTGGGGTCCCTGGGATCCCACCTGGGGGGGTTTGGGGTCTCTGGGTCCCTCAAGGAGGTGTTTTTGGAGGTCAGGAGGTGTTTTTGAGGTCAGGTAAGTTTTTTCGGGGTCAGGGAGGTGTTTTTGGGGTCAGGGAGGTGTTTTTGGGGTCAGGAGGTGTTTTTGGGGTCAGGGAGGTGATTTTGGGGTCAGGGAGTTGTTTTTGGGGTCAGGGAGTTGATTTTGGGGTCAGGGAGTTGATTTTGGGGTCAGGGAGTTGTTTTTGGGGTCAGGGAGTTGATTTTGGGGTCAGGGAGTTGTTTTTGGGGTCAGGGAGGTGGTTTTGGGGTCGGGGAGGTGTTTTTGGGGTCAGGGAGTTGATTTTGGGGTCAGGGAGTTGTTTTTGGGGTCAGGGAGTTGATTTTGGGGTCAGCCCCTCCCCTGGTGTCCCCCCCCCAGGCGCAGGCGCGGTGCCACCGCATCGGGCAGAGCAAGGCAGTGAAGGTTTTTGGGGTCAGGGAGGTGGTTTTGGGGTCAGGGAGGTGGTTTTGGGGTCTCTGGGTGGGTCATAGAGGTGATTTTGGGGTCAGGGAGTTGTTTTTGGGGTCAGCCCCTCCCCTGAATGTCTCCCCCCAGGCGCAGGCGCGGTGCCACCGCATCGGGCAGAGCAAGGCGGTGAAGGTTTACCGGCTCATCACCCGCAACTCGTACGAGCGCGAGATGTTCGACAAGGCGAGCCTGAAGCTGGGCCTGGACAAGGCCGTGCTGCAGTCCATGAGCGGCCGCGAGGGCAGCATCGCCGGGGTGAGCCACGATGGGGAGGGGACGGACCTAGATGGGTTGGGAGAGCCCCTGTTGGGTTGGAAGGGCCCCCAGTTGGGTTCCCAGTTGGGTTGGGAGAGCCCCAGTTGGGTTTGAAGAGTTTCAGTTGGATTTTAAGACCTCCAGTTGGGTTTGAAGAGTTTGAGTTGGGTTTGAAGAGTTTCAGTTGGATTTCAAGATCTTTAGTTGGGTTTGAAGGCCCCCAGTTGGGTCCCCTAAGGGTTGGAAGAGCCCCAGTTGGGTTGGAAGGCCCCAGTTGGGTTGGAAGGCCCCCAGTTGGGTTTTAAGAGCCCCAGTTGGGTTGGAAGGCTCCAGTTGGGTTGGAAGGCCCCAGTTGGGTTCCCAGTTGAGTTGGAAGGCCCCAGTTGGGTTGGAAGGCCCCAGTTGGGTTGGAAGGCCCCAGTTGGGTTCCCAGTTGGGTTGGAAGGCCCCAGTTGGGTTGGAAGGCCCCAGTTGGGTTCCCAGTTGGGTTGGGAGAGCCCCAGTTGGGTTTGAAGAGTTTCAGTTGGATTTTAAGATCTCAAGTTGGGTTTGAAGGCCCCCAGTAGGGTTGGGACAGCACCAGTTGGGTTGGAAGAGCCCCAGTTGGGTTGGGAGAGCCCCAGTTGGGTTGGAAGGCTCCAGTTGGGTTGGAAGGCCCCAGTTGGGTTCCCAGTTGGGTTGGAAGGCCCCAGTTGGGTTTGAAGACCCCCAGTTGGGTTGGAAGGCCCCAGTTGGGTTGGGAGAGCCCCAGTTGGGTTTCCAGTTGGGTGGGAAGGCCCCAGTTGGGTTGGAAGAACCCCAGTTGGGTTTGAAGACCCCCAGTTGGGTTTGAAGGCCCCAGTTGGGTTCCCGGTTGGGTTGGAAGACCCCCAGTTGGGTTGGAAGACTCCCAGTTGGGTTGGAAGGCCCCAGTTGGGTGTGAAGACTCCCAGTTGGGTTGGAAGGCCCCAGTTGGGTTGGAAGGCCCCAGTTGTGTTCCCGGTTGGGTTGGAAGACCCCAGTTGGGTTGGAAGGCCCCAGTTGGGTTGGAAGACCCCAGTTGGGTCCCCAGTTGGGTTTGGAGGTGAGGGTGTGGTGGGTCCCGCGCAGATCCAGCAGTTCTCCAAGAAGGAGATCGAGGACCTGCTGCGCAAGGGCGCCTACGCCGCCATCATGGACGAGGACGACGAGGGCGCCAAGTTCTGCGAGGAGGACATCGACCAAATCCTGCTGAGGAGAACCACCACCATCACCATCGAGAGTGAGGGAAAGGATCCACCTTTGCTAAGGTAATTAGCTAATTAGGGGTTAATTAATGAATTAATGATGAACCACCACCATCACCATCGAGAGCGAGGGGAAAGGGTCCACCTTTGCTAAGGTAATTAGCTAATTGGGGGTTAATTAATGAATTAAATCTGATGAACCACCACCATCACCATCGAGAGCGAGGGGAAAGGGTCCACCTTCGCTAAGGTAATTAGCTAATTAGGGGTTAATTAATGAGCAATCGACCAAATCCTGCTGAGGAGAACCACCACCATCACCATCGAGAGCGAGGGGAAAGGATCCACCTTTGCTAAGGTAATTAGCTAATTGGGGGTTAATTAATGAGCAATCGACCAAATCCTGCTGAGGAGAACAACCACCATCACCATCGAGAGCGAGGGGAAAGGGTCCACCTTTGCTAAGGTAATTAACTGATTAGGGGTTAATTAATGAGCAATCGACCAAATCCTGCTGAGGAGAACCACCACCATCACCATCGAGAGCGAGGGCAAGGGGTCCACCTTCGCTAAGGTAATTAGCTAATTAGGGGTTAATGAATTAATGATGAACCACCACCATCACCATCGAGAGCGAGGGGAAAGGATCAACCTTTGCTAAGGTAATTAGCTAATTAGGGGTTAATTAATGGAATCGAATGATGAGGAGCCACCACCATCACCATCGAGAGCGAGGGAAAGGAGTCAACCTTTGCTAAGGTAATTAGCTAATTAGGGGTTAATTAATGAGCAGTCGACCAGATCCTGCTGAGGAGAACCACCACCATCACCATCGAGAGCGAGGGCAAGGGATCAACCTTTGCTAAGGTAATTAACTTAATTAATGAATTAATGATGAACCACCACCATCACCATCGAGAGCGAGGGCGAAGGGTCAACCTTCACCAAGGTAATTAGCTAATTAGGGGTTAATTAATGAGCAATCGACCAAATCCTGCTGAGGAGAACAACAACCATCACCATCGAGAGCGAGGGCAAGGGATCCACCTTTGCTAAGGTAATTAACTAATTAGGGGTTAATTAATGAATTAATGATGAACCACCACCATCACCATCGAGAGCGAGGGGAAAGGATCCACCTTCGCTAAGGTAATTAGCTAATTAGGGGTTAATTAACGATGAACCACAACCATCACCATCGAGAGCGAGGGCAAGGGGTCCACCTTTGCTAAGGTAATTAATGGGGTTAATTAATTAACAATGGGTTATCCCCATAAAACAGTGAAGCAAGAGCTCCACCTTTGCCAAGGTAATTAATGGGGTTAATTAATGAATGATGGGTCATTGCTATGAAGAGTAAGGACTCCACCTTTCCCAAGGTAATTAATGGGGTTAATTAATTAATGATGGACCATTGATATAAAGAGGGAGGTCAAAGGCTCTAAAGAGGGAGGTCGAAGGCTCTACCTTTGTTAAGGTAATTAATGGGGTTAATTAATGAATAATGGGTCACTGCTATGAAGAGTAAGGCCTCCACCTTCACCTCGGTAATTAAGGGGGGTTAATTAACGGCCACGCCCCCCCCCAGGCGAGCTTCGTGGCGTCCGAGAACCGCACGGACATCGCGCTGGACGACCCCAACTTCTGGCAGAAATGGGCCAAGAAAGCCGACCTGGACCTGGAGCTGCTCAACAGCAAGGTGGGAGCCACCACCTGGGGGGGGGGCGTGGCCTTGGGTTGGCCACACCCACCCCTCAGGTGCTGATGGGGGTGTGTCCTGGGTGGGGCAGAACACGCTGGTGATCGACACGCCGCGGGTGCGGAAGCAGACGCGCCACTTCAGCACCCTGCGCGACGACGACCTGCTGGACTTCTCCGACCTGGACAGCGACGACGACCTCGAGCGCCCCGACCGCGAGCGCCGCGGTGCCGGAGGAGGAGGAGGAGGGGGAGGGGGGCGCCGGCACCACCACCACCACCCCCACCACCACCACAACCAGGGCCCCCACCAGGGCGGCCCCTACGGCAGGACCGACTGCTTCCGCGTCGAGAAGCACCTCATGGTCTACGGGTGAGGGCGGCCGGGCTGTTGTTGATGCCACGTTGGCCTCGTTGATCCCTCATTGATCTCGTTGACCCTGTTGACCCCCCCGTTGACCTCATTGATTGTGTTGATCCACCTATTGACCCTGTTGACCCCCCATTGACCTCGTTGACTTTGTTGACCCCCCCATTAATCTCATTGATTGTGTTGACCCCCCATTGATCTCATTGACTGGGTTGACCCCCCCATTGACCGTGTTGACCCCCCATTGACCTCATCAACCGTGTTGACCCCTTATTGACCTTGTTGACTCGCCCATTGATCTCATTGACCCTGTTGACCCCCCCATTGACCTTGTTGACTCCTCATTGACCGTGTTGACCCCCCCATTGACCTTGTTGAGTCCCCATTGATCTCGTTGACCGTGTTGACCCCCCATTGACCTCATTGACTGTGTTGACCCCCCCATTGATCTCATTGATTGTGTTGAGCCTCCTATTGACCTTGTTGACCCTCCATTGACTTCATTGACTGTGTTGACCCCCCCATTGACCTCGTTGACCCCATTGACCCCCTCCTTGACCTCGTTGACCCTGTTGATTCACCCATTGACCATGTTGACCCCCCATTGACCTCGTTGGTCCCATTGACGCGTTATTGACCCTATTGACCCCCATTGGCCCCCCTTTTGGACCTATTGACCCCATTGATCCCCCATTGGTCCCACTGATCGCCCATTGGCCCCGTTGACCCCCGTTGACCCCCAATTGGTCCCATTGACCTCTCGTTTGTCCCGTTGACCCCATTGACTCACCATTGACCGAGTTGACCCCCATTGACCCCCCATTGATCCCATTGAGCCCCCATTGGTCCCGTTGACTCATCATTGGTCCCATTGACCCCATATTGGCCCCAGTGACTCCGTTGACCCACCATTGACTGAGTTGACCCCCCATTGTCCCATTGAGCCCCCATTGACCACATTGACCCCCGTTGGTCCCGTTGACCCCATTGACCCACCATTGACTGCGTTGATCCCCATTGACTCCCCATTGGTCCCATTGACCTCCCATTGGTCCCGTTGACCCCATTAACTCACTATTGACCGAGATGACCCCCCTTGGTCCCATTGAGCCCCCATTGACTCACCATTGACCGAGTTGACCCCTGTCGACCCCGCATTGGTCCCATTGAACCCCCATTGGTCCCATTGACCTCCCATTGGTCCCATTGACCCTGTTGACCACGTTGACCCCCGTTGAGCTCCCATTGGTCCCATGGAGCCCCCATTGGTCCCGTTGACCCCGTTGACTCACCATGGACCACGTTGACCCCTCTTGACCCCCCATTGGTCCCGTTGAACCCGCTGACTCACCATTGACCCTGTTGACCCCCATTGGTTTCATTGAGCTCTCATTGGTCCCGTTGACAGCCGTTGACCCCCCACTGGTCCCATTGAGCCCCCATTGATCCCGTTGACTCACCATTGACCGAGTTGACCCCCATTGGTCCCGTTGACCCCGTTGACCCCCCATTGGTCCCATTGATCCCCTGCTGGTCCCATTGACCTCCCATTGGTCCCATTGACCCCCCATTGTCCCCCTTGCCCCACCATTGACCCCCATTGGTCCCGTTGACCCTGTTGACCTCGTTGACCCCCATTGACCCCCCATTGGTCCCATTGACCCCGTTGACTCACCATTGACCCCATTAACCCTGTTGACTCACCATTGACCCTGTTGACCCCCATTGGTCCCATTGACCCCATTGACCCCCCATTGACCGTGTTGCCCCCCGGCAGGTGGGGCCGCTGGCGGGAGCTGGTGGCTCAGGGCCGGTTGAAGCGGCGCCTGTCGGAGCGGGACGTGGAGTCGCTGTGCCGCGCCATCCTGCTCTTCTGCCTGCTGCACTTCCGCGGCGACGACGCCGTGCGCGCCTTCGCCTGGGCCCTGGTGGCGCCCCCCGAGAACGGCCGCGCCCGCCCGCCCCACGGCCAGCCCGGTGAGAGACCCCCCCCCTCCCCCGGGGAGCCTTGATTTGGGGGGGTTTGGGGGATCTTTGGGTTCTCCCAGGGCCGGTTTGGGGCACTTTGGGTTCTTCCAGGGCCGTTTTGGGGCACTTTGGGTTGTTCCAGCTTCACTTTGGGGGGTTTGGGGCTCTTGGGGTTCTCCCAGCCCCGCTTTGGGGGGGTTTGGGGCTCTTTGGGTTCTCCCAACTCTGTTTTGGGGCACTTTGGGTTCTTTCAGCTCCGTTTTGGGCCACTTTGGGTTCTTCCAACTCCACTTTGGGGGGGTTTTGGGGCACTTTGGGTTCTCCCAAATCCGGTTTGGGGGGGTTTTGGGGCTCTTTGGGTTCTCCCAACTCCAGTTTGGGGCACTTTGGGTTCTTCCAGCCCCGCTTTGGGGGAGTTTGGGGCACTTTGGGTTCTTCCAGCTCCAGTTTGGGGGGTTTGGGGCTCTTTGGGTTCTCCCAGGGCCAGTTTGGGGCTCTTTGGGTTCTTCCAGTTCTGTTTTGGGGGGGTTTGGGGGCTCTTTGGGCTCTCCCAGGGCCGGTTTGGGGGGGTTTGGGACACTTTGGGTTCTCCCAAATCTGGTTTGGGGCACTTTGGGTTCTCTCAGTTCCGTTTTGGGGGGTTTTGGGGCAGTTTGAGGGGGACTTCCAATCTCATTTTCGGGGGGTTGCAGTTCTGGTTTTGGGGCTGTTTGGGGGGGTTCCAATCCCATTTTTGGGGGGTTCAAACTCCATTTTGGGTCTGTTTTTGGGGGGGGGTTCCAATCCCATTTTTGGGGGGGTTCCAGCCCCATTTTGGGTCTGTTTTGGGGTGGGGGTTCGAATCCCATTTTCGGGGGGTTCCAACCCCATTTTGGGGCTCTTTTTGGGGTGGGGTTCCAGTCCCATTTTGGGGCAATTTGGGGAATTCCGATTTTATCACCGTTTCTTTTTATTTTTCCCCATTTTCCCCCATTTTTTACCCATTTTTTCACCATTTTTGGCCGTTTCTTCACTGGTTTTGGCCGATTTTTAACCATTTGTGGCCGTTTCTTCACCCTTTTTTCTCGTTTTTGGCCGTTTCTTCACCGTTTTTTGCTGTTTTTTCCCCATTTTTGACCATTTTTTCCCTGCTTTTGACGGCTTCTTCATTGTTTTTGGTCATTTTTTCACTGTTTTTGGCCATTTCTTCACTGTTTTTCACCGTTTTTGGCCATTTTTTCTCTGTTTTTAGCCATTTTTTCCCTGTTTTTGGCCATTTTTTCACCGTTTTTTCACCATTTTTGGCCGTTTCTTCACCATCTTTGGCCGTTTTTTCCCATTTTTGGCCATTTCTTCACCGTTTTCCCTCGTTTTTGGCTGTTTTTTCCTCTGGTTTGGCCGTTTCTTCACCATTTTCGGCTGTTTCTTCACCGTTTTTGGCCGTTTCTTCACCATTTTTCACTATTTTTCACCGTTTTCCCCCATTTTTGGCCGTTTTTTCACCGTTTCTTCACCGTTTTTCACCATTTCTTCACCATTTTTCACTATTTTTCACCGTTTTTCCCCATTTTTGGCCGTTTTTTCCCCGTTTCTTCACCGTTTTTCACCGTTTCTTCACCGTTTTCCACCATTTTTTCACCGTTTCCCCCCATTTTTCACCGTTTTCTCCCCATTTCCCCCCTCCAGGTGTGGCTGTGCCGGGCGGGCGGGGCCGGAAGGGGAAGAAGCCGAAGCCGCCGCTGCCCCCCCTGGAGCCCCCCCAGGCCGAGTGGCTGCGCAGGCACAACCCCGAGGGGCTGCTCCAGGACGAGGGCTACCGAAAGCACCTCCGGCACCAGTGCAGCAAGTGGGTCTGGGGGGTCAAATTTGGGCTGAAATCTGCAAGTTTTGGGCAAAAAAACCGCGAATTTTGGGGTCAAAAACTGAGATTTGGGGGGAAAAAGGGGGGTTTTGGGGGGTCCCAGCTCGGGGGCTGCTCAGGGCGAGGGCTACAAAGCACCTCCGCCACCAGTGCAGCAAGTGGGTCTGGGGAGTGAAATTTGGGGCTAAAAGTCCAAGATTTGGGCAAAAACCGCGGATTTTGGGGTCAAAACCTGAGATTTTGGGGTCAAAACCTGAGATTTGGGGGGAAAAAGGGGGGTTTTGGGGTCCTCAGCTTGAGGGGCTGCTCCAGGACGAGGGCTACCGAAAGCACCTCAGGCACCAGTGCAGCAAGTGGGTCTGGGGGGCCAAATTTGGGGCTAAAAGTCCAAGATTTGGGCAAAAACCGCGGATTTTGGGGTCAAAACCTGAGATTTTGGGGG